TTTTGGTGATTTTCAATGATGTGAGAGAAGTAGGTGGACCTAGCAGACTCTATAGTAACCTGATATTCAGATAAGTAATCTCTCCAGGCCTGATAATGAATGAGGAGAATCATAAATGTATCCGTTCTGGTTAAGTTTCGTTGTAGGACTGAAAACTGAAAAACCGTTCCCAAAAGCTAAAGACGGTTTGCTTTTCATTTCCTTTCTAAGAATTAAAAATGCTTATAAAGTTACATCCTTAAGGAACAAATTTTACCCACTGCCTCGCTCTGCAGTGGAGTCAGCTACAACTACAAATCCCATCATCCATTTCATCTGACAAAATTATGACACACGACAAAGATCGTAAGAAGGTAGATACTAAAACCCAGGAACCTTTAAAACATTCAAAGAAATAAGTAGAAATATTCTATAACATACATACGAGTTTATCCTAAGCAGTTTAAGTGCAAACCGAACGAGTTTTATACGTGAAAATGAAATGAAAGTTGTCTAAGTGTCTCAGAACCCAATGGTACTACGTTGTTTTCCTGCCAGGACATCGGAATCTGATTGGCTACCCCAAGGTTTATTAAAAAGAAAAGTCTCTTCCTATCGTAAAACACCAGGCTGGAGTAGGGCTCAATGCACGCTTGTTGCGGATCTGAAGTTGTTGAAACAGTGCTATCTATTATGTAGGCGGAGACGGGCATGTGTTGTCCTGTCAGGGAATTTCCGCAGAACCGTCGCCGAAAAACCTTAAGATAGCTGGAGTTTTATTAGCGATCATCCTGCTCAGGTCTTGAAGGAACACTCCCTTTTGCGATGGTACACGAAGAATTAAGCGCCCGTCTCAATGACATCGGTTACAAAAACTGGCTGAAGGCAGGCTACTGCCTTCTGAAGCTGAGAGACGGGTTGCACGGGTTCGTCAATAATGAGACGAAGACTTTCCACGGGAGGCTGATCGATAAGAACCCCGTACTGCGGCGGGGATACACGTGCAGACACGGGTGCCGACCTACGGGCAACCAGGTGAGCTAGTCATGGAAAAATGCTTCTGTCGAGCGACAACCAACAGCGCGCTTTCAGACTTAAAGTGAGATATGCATCAATTCGCACTTTAATATGCGTGTAGTTAATTAGCAGGCTTATGTAGTACTGTAGAGGGTAGAGAGTGTTCAAAAACTGTTCTATTCAAATTTCAAAAGCAGTCTGGAGGTTATTTTAGATCACCTGTTAACGTCATTTTACAGGGTTTACACTGATTTAAGAAATTAGCGTACTGGAAGAGAGAACATGCAAGCTCCGTACACAGGGCACACTATACCCGTGACACAAGAGCTGCGATGCAGCATCGCTAACAACCAAGGCGCCGTGCGAGCCCTGGAAAGCTTCAGTGCACCGTTTACAGAGCTCAGCGCTTCTTAAACAGCCCCGTCCTTTACCACAGGATCGCTGGGATGACTGTAATAAGATGTTTAGTACCCACCTCCAAAGCGATTCTGAACGATGCCGCACCTTCCACTCTGAAGTTCTGCTGTCTCGCTGCGGGGGAGGGGGCGCCTTATAAGGGCTTTAGTGAAGGCGTCACATTCGGTCTCCTGGCGACACAGGAGCTTCGGTGACGCAGACAGATACGTCATGAATCATCTTTGCTCGGGCTTTCTGTAGCACTAGGACATGGCCTGTTAGTGTCTGTTGCGCTACCATGAATGATCTAATCTCTCGTGCGTTTATATCACCGGGCGAGAGCTACAGATATTTTTCCATTTCCCAAGTTTCAATGTTAAATAATGTTGATAACTCTCTAAATCAGAAAAGAATAACTATACATTAAGTTTCCGCATTGATTTAAAACAATCCATCCAATTTCTAACTGCTTTATCCATTGTAGGGTCTGGATAAAGTCCTGTTTTGTCAAGCAATGGGCACGAGACATAATACACAAAAAATTGTCCGTGTCAGTGGATTGTAGGAGGAAAAATTAGCAATTGGAGGAAACCCACACAAACACAGGTAGAACATACAAACTCCACGCAGATAACGCTTCAGGTCCAGAATTGAATACGGGGTCCCAGCTCTGTGAGGCAGCAATGCTAAACACTGTGCCACCATATCACCTTAAACCACTCCGCTTATCTTCATTCAATATTCTCCCATTTGATTTGGAACTGATTTTTGTTTTTCGAGCCTGTTGATTCTTTAGTTTGGATCTACTGCTTTCTCCATTCACCGTGTCCCTCCCGCCTCTAGCTCCACTCCGTCTGCGGGCTGTGTGAGGAGTGGAAGAAGGAGATCCTCAGGCATCACTCCTACAGGGCAGCGATCATTAACTGGGGCAACTGCAAGCCCTGGCTCTGGCCTGCTCAGCACTGGGAGGTCGCGAAGGTACAGTCTAGCTAATCCTTCCTCAAAGTTAATTCCTATCTGATAATCTCAGGTCAATTTAGTTTAATTGTCATATGCACAAGTGAAATGAAATACGTATGGTGCAATGAACTGCTTATTATTACTTATTGTCACTTTTATTCTCAGTTTTCGTATTACTTATTCTCACTTATTTTTACTTATTCGTACTCAAGAATATGTCCCACAAAAGCCAGCTCATTAATCTTGCAGCCAGGGCTGCCAAGTGCTCTGTTTTGTTATACAAATATCTGGCGTGGTTCAGTTTTGGCATTAAAGGACCTTGAACCTTCTGGTAAGTTAATTACCCGATTGATGTTTTAATTGCTTAATTAGTCCAAATGGCGTTATATACCTGTTGACTGCCCCTGGTCTGTGCCAACGGACTGATATCAGTGTGCAGAGTTCAAGTGCGATGAAATGCGCCCATAAAAAGACGGTTTGAAAACGTCGGTTTGAGTCAATGGTACAGGTAGAATTCAATAATCTGCCAGCTTGCAGGAACGAGGCATCTCAGAATGTGGGCGTTCGTGCCTTCGTGCTCCTATCATGCTTACCAGAGGGAAGGGGGGAGAAAAGTGAGGAACCAGGGTGATTGTTATCCTTAGCGATACTCCCAGCCTTCCTGCGACAGCGAGTTGTAATAACAGTAGAGGGGGGCTATGTTAAGAGAGAGATGTTGCTTCTTGCTAGTTATTTTAGAAACCTGTAGGGCTTTTAGGGCACCTTTGTCCCTGTGGAGGAGCACAGAGAGGTAAGAGATCTGCTCTCCCCCCGCAGGCCTACATGCCCCGCGGCCAGGCGGCCAGCGCCGGGCCTGGGCAGTGTGACGCTGCCGCGCTGCTCAATCTCCTCGGCTGCTGCGATCACTTCAGCTTCCTCGACCAGCAGCAGGTCAGAGAGGTGAGTAGAGGTGTGGGATTCACAAGACAACCTTCTTGTGTCTTGTGTTCACAAGACAACCTTCATTACAACATTCACATGTAGTAATGTCGCTACATTACCTTTGCTTGCTGCCTTTTCTCTCTCACACCTGAAGAAGGCTCCACGGCTGAAACGTTGTGTTTTCTTTCTTCTTTTTTTTCAGCATGGAATAAACCTACTACTTGTTTCTTTGCAGCCTACGCATGCTGACGCAGCCGCCCACCTGAATTAGTTCCTTTCTGTCTTTGGTTTCTGTGGCTTTTCAGGATTTTTCCCAGGCTTGACATTCTATATCTTAAATAAAGGCATCTACTACTGCCAGCTTACCAAATACATGGCCCTTATCTTACTGAGAAAGGACAGGCAGCATCTTTATATACATTTGAGCACAAAGCCTACGTCAAGCCACTAGACTGCATAGTTTGCAAAAACATACAAAAACAAGAAAATGATATTATTATCTCACTTCCTGGGCGTCTCTCTTATCTCTTCATTCTTCAGAGCGCACATGCATAAACAGCACAGTCTGATGCACGGTATACATTCAACAGAGAGTGTAAATACTCCACTTTGTACAGATGTGATCTGATCCCCATCTTATTTTCAACTTAAAATGTATCTAACAGTCTAAGTCCCTAGGTTGAGTCACGA